GAATCCCATAAATGAGAAGTTTTCTTAATTATAAACCTTTCAATATTAAAAAATTATATTAAATTTTAATTAATTCAAAATTAAAGCACATCAAATTAATTTTTTTCACTACTTATTTTTTTTCTTTATAAAATTTAAATTTAAAACCTTAATTCTTTATACTTAAATTAACAAATCATTTATTATATTAGAGATTATCAAGCCAATAAATCCATTAGCACGCACTTGGGTCTCTAGGTCCACTAGCATTAGCCAGGTTGATGGTGCATTGCCTCCCTCTTCAGAGCGGGTTCGAAATCCGCCATTGCCAAAATGATCAAAAAAAAAAAAAAAAGAGGTAAATCCATTAGCACCTCCTACCCCTATATGCCATCAGGTAAGGTGCATTAGATGCCTTAGATGTGATAAGATTCAAGTAGAGCTGTATTTTATGCTCCCTACCCCCAGGGCAATATTATGCCAACAAAAATGTTAAAACTATTAAAATTATAAAATATTATTTTAAAAATTTTAATTTAATTTAATTTAATTAATAAAAATTATTAATAATTATAATATTAATAATTAATAAAATAATTACTATTTATTAATTAATAAATTAAAATTAATTAATTAATATTTTTAAATATTACTTAAAAATAAAAATAAAATTTTTAATATTCTTAATATTTTTTAATTTATAGTGACAATAAACACATCCTCTCTCATGCTCCAATTACAATTTTTTTTAATGAAATCTTACTAGTAGTAATAAATCAAGATTAAGGATTTTTTTGGGGTTTTTTTAATCTTACTTTAACTCTTAAAAGCATATATTAAGGATATATTTTTATTATAAATATATAAATAAAAATTAGTATTAATTTTAATGTTAATACTAAATAAATAAATTTAATTAGATATTAACAAATTAAAAATTAATTTTTATATTTTTAATATAAATATATAACAAAAAGATATATTTATTATTATTTAAAAAAAAATTTGAGTGCATTAATTTAATAAAGTGTACTACTAAATGGAAGTAACAGCTTGTAATTAGTACATAACTACCTTTTAGGCTGGCGCTCCATCAATTTTGGCATCACATGCACAAGGTTATTCAATTGCCGGTAAGGTGTGTTTGAGTAAAGGTCAATTTTCTCGAAAGTAAATTTTTTTGTTGTTGACATGTTTTTATTAAAAAAAGTGATTAAAAAATATTATATAAAAAATTATAAAATATTATACAAAGAGTTATTAAATTTTGTATTAAAATTTTATTAAATTGTTAATTTTGTTATACTTGGTAAAAAAATTAATATAAAAAAATATTAAAAAATAATATAGTTATAATACTATATAACATTTAAAATATATCACATGATATATTATTATATATCAACTCAATTAAAATTACGTTATATTAATTTAATATAATGTTGTGATTATAAAATTATAATTTTACATTGTATTATAATTATAATATTATTGATATGTGCTAATTTTTTTTAAAAAAATTTACAAATTAAAATTTATATTAAAAAATATTATTTTTTTATTTATTCATTATAATTTTAAAATATATAAATACTAAATATTTCTCAAAAAAAAATTTAAGCACACCTTAAGGCCGTGTAATAATCTTACTATTGTTTATATATATATATATATAATCCATTAACGCTACTATATATTATTTTGTTATATATAGATCCAAAAGGATATTAATTTTTCAATTTAGACTGAAAAAGGAAAGTTACAAAAATACCATGGCGCTTTTAATAAATCAAACACGAGATAAATTTATTAAATGCTTTTTTAATATTTTAACCACCTAAACCGCACTTTTTTACATGCGATCCAAATTGAAAAAATAAAAAAAGAAAAACCCAAAAATCACTAACATTCCAAATTAAAAATTATTATAATTATAAATTATAAATTTATAATATTATATAATATTATAATAAGACTAAATGAGGACCAAGTCCTTATGGGCCTTTGTGCTCGCTATGTTTAGAGCTGGCTATGAATGGTCATAAAATATTCATTTAAAAAAAAAAAATCTTTAAATGACAGCAACTTTTGTACTCCCAAATAAATTAACAAAATAAAGTAGAAAACTCAAAAAAGAAAAAAAGAAGCCCGGAGGCGTAGACTCTGACCAAGAATGAACTCGGGAAAGAAAGCAAATAAAACCGCGTTTGACCTTGGAAAAACTTCGCCCACCATGGATGAGGAATCTTAAATTCACACACGCACCTTTATCCACCCCACTACTTCCTTCCATCAAGCCGCTAATTTGAAGAAAATCCCATTTCAATCTCCATCCTTTTTGTTAAATTGATTGATCTGATCTGAGTTTGATTTTTCTTGGGTTTTTCCGCTGGGTGTTTATGGCAGATAGAGTGAAGCAAATCTTGGCGAAGCCGATCCAGTTGGCGGACCAGGTGAAGAAAGCGGCGGACGAGGCGAGTTCGTCTAAGCAGGAGTGTGCGGAGCTCAAATCCAAGACAGAGAAGCTCGCTGGTTTGCTGCGGCAGGCGGCGCGTGCTAGTTCTGATCTTTATGAACGCCCCACGCGCCGGATCATTGACGACACCGAGCAGGTTTTGGAAAAAGCCCTCGCTTTGGTCCTTAAATGCCGCGCCAATGGGTTTATGAAACGGGTTTTCACTATTATTCCGGCGGCGGCGTTTCGCAAAATGTCTACTCAGCTTGAGAATTCTATTGGGGATGTGTCCTGGCTCCTTCGGGTTTCTGCTTCAGCTGATGATCGGGACGATGAGTACTTGGGTCTTCCTCCAATTGCAGCGAACGAGCCGATTTTGTGCCTTATTTGGGAGCATATTGCGATTCTTTATAATGGGTCCGTCGACGATCGGTCTGATGCCGCTGCTTCCTTGGTTTCGCTCGCATCAGACAATGATCGGTACGGAAAGCTGATCATCGAGGAAGGAGGGATTGGCCCGCTGTTGAAGTTGTTGAAAGAAGGGAAAGCGGATGGTCAAGAGAACGCTGCGAGGGCAATTGGGCTTCTCGGACGCGACCCGGAAAGCGTCGAATATTTGATTCTTGCCGGGGTCTGTTCTGTGTTTGCGAAAATCCTCAAAGAAGGTCCCATGAAGGTCCAAGCCATGGTTGCCTGGGCGGTGTCCGAGCTCGCCGGAAATCACCCCCCATGTCAAGATTTATTCTCCCAGCATAACATAATCCGGTCGCTGGTTAGTCATCTTGCTTTTGAGACTGTTGAAGAACACAGCAAGTACACCATTGCTACCAACAAGGCCACATCAATCCACGCCCTTCTGATGGCCAGCGGCAACAATCCAAATGTTAATGACGGGAACCGAGTGATTGACGATGATGATATGCTGATTAGGTCTCGGATACCACATCCGATGGGCAATCAAACTCCGAATCAGTTGCACAATGTGGTCACAACAACAATGCAAATGAAGGTAGCCTCTAAGCAGCCTCAAACGCCAAGCAATGGTACAAATCAGACCAGTCATGTCAGGAGCAATAGCAATAGCAATCTGAAGCAAATTCATCAACCCCATTATCAACAGCACCTCCCTGTTTACGGGACTAATTTCAAGGGGAGGGAGTTGGAAGATCCTGCTACAAAAGCTAAAATGAAGGCAATGGCAGCAAGAGCTCTGTGGCATCTTGCCAAGGAAAATTCTGTAATTTGCCGTAGTATCACTGAGTCTAAAGCGCTTTTGTGCTTTGCTGTTCTGTTAGAGAAAGGAAATGGAGAAATTCAGTATAATTCAGCCATGGCTTTGATGGAGATCACTGCAGTGGCAGAGACAGATACTGAGTTGAGAAGATCTGCATTCAAACCCAATTCCCCGGCTTGTAAGGCTGTTGTTGATCAGTTATTGAAGATCATTGAAAAAGCTGATTCAAACCTCTTGATACCCTGTATCAAGGCTATTGGCAATTTGGCTAGGACTTTTAGAGCAACAGAAACAAGGATAATTGCTCCATTGGTAGCACTTCTGGATGATAAGGAAGCTGTGGTTTCTAATGAGGCTGTCCTTGCACTTACCAAGTTTGCTTGCTCAGATAACTTTCTGCACACGGATCACTCTAAGGCAATTATAAGTGCTGCAGGTGCAAGGCACTTAGTCCAGCTGGTGTATTTTGGAGAACAACAAATGGTTAAACACTCGGCATCAATTCTCCTATGCTACATCGCCCTCCATGTCCCGGATAGTGAGGAGCTTGCCCAGAATGAGGTGCTCACTGTGCTTGAATGGGCATCCAAGCAACCCTTTTTAACCCAGGACCAGGATGAGAAAGTGGAGGAATTGTTTCAAGATGCCAAAAGCAGATTGGAGCTCTATCAGTCTAGAGGTTCAAGGGGAATTCTTTAAATCAGTAAATGCTCGTATTGTAGTTCATTCATTGAATTCAGTTTGCAATCATCTTGTTTTTGTTTCCCATTCCTAATTCTAATGGAATGTACATACAGTTTGGGATTCTCCGTAATTTTGATTATAAGCATCTTGAGTTTCCCCAAGTTGCAGCTTCTTTTTGTGCTTGCTGTTTTTCCATTCGATGATGTTTTGTTTCACCTTTTTCTCAGAAGGAATCAAAATTGGTTATGAAACCTGATTATATTGCTCTTAATGGTTACTCTTCTGATTGAAATGCATTAGATTGAATCTACAATAATAGTTGTCAGATAACTCGATTGTTGTCTGGGGTATACACCACCAAGGCATGGAATGAAATGTGTCTTCTGACCCAAATCTTGTCAGTCATGTAGCCTTGTTTTTAGGATTTAGTGTAACAAACAAACAAACAAACTGGTTCCTAAACGATAGGTAACAATAAGACTCATTCAACAATGAAAATTGCAAAACGATTGGGATTCACAAACCAACACATCTGAAGATGGAGGTTTGCTCTGAAATACATAAGCTATGAACAAGGTCAAATCATGGAGAATGAATGAATGATGGTCATAAACCAGAGCACCATGATGATAATGGAGTTGGAATGAAATTTGCTACGAGGCTGTTTGGGTTAATTTAAAGCTGCAACGTCTATATATCCATCTGCTTTTCATGAAGGCAAATCACAGGGTGCCACAGCATTCTTACCTAATTTTTCTGTCTCCATTCATTCTTCTCTTCGCTGTCGCTCTACTTTGTGAAAATAGAAAAAGAGATTTGGGAACGGAAGGGTTATCTCTTCTCATATAGTTCTCGAAAAAAATGTTATGCAATTTTAACATCCGGGGCCTTGAAGATCCTTTGACAGTTAGGAACGTTTCGCAATCAAAAAAAGCCAAAATAATTGGATATCAACAGATGAAAATGAAGGCTATTGATGCTGCTAGTCAAACCACTCTCGCTGAGATAAGGCATCCCAAATTTGACAAAGTCCTCCCCTGGATTACTTGCTCCCGTTTTGTTTTCTACCTAGAGAAGCATTTTTGGTTTCTACGCAGAGACAAAGTTAGCTATATTGATGATAAATGGGCTTCTAAATTTAGTGGACAAACCGTGGATTAAAATGGGCTTAAAGTCATGGTCATTGGGTCAAATGGGCTGTTTACTTGTCTCCAATCTGCCTTGATAGACTGAGACCTAGGAAAATAAAATTTGCCATTTTGTCATGTGACAAAAAAGTTGTCTTTGAAACCTTTACAAAGTTGTCAATCAAAATCAAATTTGCCATTTTGTCACTTGACAAAAAAGTTGCCTTTGAAGAATGACCCGTTCCCAGTGGCATTAGATCTAATTGACAACTTTGTAAAGGTTTCAAAGGCAACTTTAAAAAATAATAATAATTTTAGCATTATTTACAAGTATATATAGGAAAGAATGGAAATGAATTTCGTGGGGTTCAAACGTAAAATACGGACTTTTCACCTCATATGGATGTTGTTGAATTGAGATTTTAAATTAAAAATGTTGAATTTAAATTTTAAAAGTTGTAAGGAGTGATTAAAAGTAAAATCATTATTTTTTATTATATAATTTATTATTTAATATATCAAAAAGAAAATACAAACATTTCTAAGGTATTAATTTTTTTTAGTAGTATTATAATTATAATATCATATAAAATTATAATAATCTTACATAATATTTAATGATATATAATATAATAGTAAATAAATAAATGCATATAATATTATAAATAACCCTTGAATAAAAAAAATTAATTATATAATGACATATCATATTGTATACTTATAATGTCACATGACATTAAAATTATAATATTTTCACATTTTTTTACTAGTTATGATACTAAGTTGAGGGTATTTAAGGCACATCTCAAAATTAATTCTTCCTTAATTTGATAAAAAAAACAAACCATTTACATTAAAATTAAAAAAATTATAAAAAATCACATCCCATTACCCTTTAAAAAAAAATATCAAACGAAGGAAACAAATCCTATTGGTTATTATTGAGTGTAAGTGCATAATATTACTGAGTGTAAGTGCATAATATTACTTTATGTAAATGCTTTTGTTAGCCCCAATGATTTATTGGTGCGAGGAAAAACAGTTTTATTTTTTTTAATTAAGGTTTGAATTGAATCTTTGAATAAAAAAGCAGATGGTGAGAGAGTTTCTTATTATAAAGTTCAAGGTAGTTCAATTTTTAATTAAATGTGATCCAATCCAATGTGATTACTGAATTAAGGGAGATTAGTAAAAAAATTTAAAAAAAAAAACAAAAAAACAAAAAAGCTTTCGTTAGCTTCCTTAACAAGTTAACATGTGTAACCCAGCAGAATTTGTCTGTTTTCAGGGTCATACATTTTATGCACGGACTTATCCTCAGTCCTCACACAGGTGCCACTGCCAGTGGCTTCCAATTCTCCTCCACCCAATTGATAATCCACCACTATCCAATCAAAAAGGCAAAAATCAACCCATCCCTTCATTCCCTCATCTCAATTCTTCACCAGCACACCCATCAAATTTCATTTCTCCTCCTTCAGCATCTTAGCCATGGCTGCTGCCATTACTTTTGCAGTCTATTTCCCTTCCTCCAAGTCCTCTTCTCTTTCCACCAGATCATCATTAATCTCACCAGATCAAAGAATCACCTTTAAGAAGGTAAATCATGTTATGCTCATATTTTCTTTCCATGGTTTTTGACACTGGCAAAATGGCAATTGCATTTTTCTTCTCTTCTCAAATCTATGTCACATACTCACATGCTACTTGGCTTACAGGTTCCTCTCAATTATGTTCCCTGTGGTGGGAGAGTGGTTTCTGTTAGAGCCCAGGTCACCACAGAGGCTCCTCCAAAGGTTGTGAAGGAATCCAAGAAAAATGAGGAAGGAGTTGTGGTTAACAAGTTCAAGCCCAAGAACCCTTACATTGGCAGGTGCCTCCTCAACACTAAAATCACTGGTGATGATGCCCCTGGAGAGACTTGGCACATGGTCTTCAGCACTGAAGGTACAAAAACTTCTGCTTTTATATATCTTGTGCCTCAATTATCTGTGTCAAACATGGGGCTTAAATTATAAAGTTGATTATTTTGTTGAGATGATTGCTCGGAAATTGGAAGCTTGACTGGTTGGTTTGGGTTGGTTTAGATGAGATTCCCTACAGAGAAGGGCAATCCGTTGGGGTGATTCCTGATGGTGTTGACAAGAATGGCAAACCCCACAAGCTGAGATTATATTCAATTGCCAGCAGTGCTATTGGTGATTTTGGGGATTCAAAAACTGTGAGATTCTACTATAATTTTTTTTAAAATATATATTAGTTCTGTTATTTTCTCTCAAGTTGGTATGACTATTCTGAGAAACATAATCTATTTTTTATTTTGCATTTTTTGTTCTTTTCTGTTATTTTTGTTTTCATTTTGTTTTTCCTGATATTCTTCATTCAGGTGTCTCTATGTGTCAAAAGGCTAGTGTATACAAATGAGAATGGAGAACTTGTTAAAGGAGTCTGCTCAAATTTCTTGTGTAAGTATGTGGCCTTTTGTATTCTTCTAGTTCATTAGTGTGTCTAGATCGCTTGAATGCCAAAAGAATTTTACCTTTGTTAATAGGGCAAAGTAGAACTATTTAGAGTTTTGAATAAGATAGAAAATGGCATTCTGGAAATGCCTTTGGTAGTCTATACTTAGTAACTCCAAATGCTTTGTTTGTCATTTTCAGGTGACTTGAAACCAGGGTCAGAAGTAACAATTACAGGGCCTGTTGGGAAGGAAATGCTTATGCCAAAAGATCCAAATGCCACAATCATCATGGTACAATCCAAGTTGCTTATGCCTTATTCCACTACAGCGCTTGTTCAAAACATAACCTTAAACTCCCTTTTCCTAGCTTGCAACTGGAACTGGAATTGCTCCTTTCAGAGGATTTTTATGGAAAATGTTCTTTGAGAAGCATGAGGACTACAAGGTACAACGATTGTTTTTTTTTTTTTTTTTTATCTATTTCTCAACAGTTATGTTACTTGGGAAGCCACCGCACCACATAGCAAAGGAAAAATACCATTCTTATCTTGAAAACAATAGTTAACTTTAATCTGATACAGCTACTAGGATCTGTTTGATCAGTTAAAGCGGTTACTAATTGCCTTCTACAAAGCGAACTGTATAATTTGCTTAGAGAGGCTATATGATTTCAACATCATACAGTGATGATAAATACATACATTCTTCTTGTAATGATACTTAATGCATCATGGTTCAATGCTGCTGGCAAATTTTCATTGGAAACAGGATCTGCACAATGAATCAAGTAAATCTGAATATGATAAAAGACTCAGCTTTTGGTAATGATTTGCAGTTTAATGGTTTGGCATGGCTGTTCTTGGGTGTCCCCACAAGTAGCTCATTGTTGTATAAGGAGGTGAGACACTAAGACTAGTCACATACTTGTACAGTTTAATTCCAACATCAAATCGGTGGGTCTACCTGATGAGGATCATTCTGAAGCTTTTGTAATGTTGAGTGGAACAGGAATTTGAGAAGATGAAGGAGAAGGCCCCTGACAACTTCAGGGTAGACTTTGCTGTCAGCAGAGAGCAAACCAACGAGAAAGGCGAAAAGATGTATATTCAGACCCGGATGGCACAATACGCTGAAGAGTTATGGGAATTACTCAAGAAGGATAACACCTTTGTCTACATGTGTGGATTAAAGGGAATGGAGAAGGGAATTGATGACATTATGGTATCCTTGGCTGCCAAAGACGGTATGAAATGAACTGCATTTTTCATGCTTGCTAGGAAGTCTCCATGTGTGTTTTTGCTGGTATTGCTAAGCATTTCCTCTAATTTTTCAGGCATTGATTGGACGGAGTACAAGAGGCAGTTGAAGAAGGCTGAGCAATGGAATGTGGAAGTCTACTAATACTCTGGAATTTGTAGAAATTGTAGAAATCTCCCGCTTTTCTTTTCTCTTTTTGATTTTTTTTTTCCATTTTTCCCCTATTTTGAGGAGCCGTCCTACAATTATTCCCACTGCAATATGTAGATAAAGAATGAATTTTTATCTCTCCCCCTTTTTTCCATGATTATTTTGCCTATTTTCATGAAGGACTATTATTTTTATTGCCTGCTATGGTTTATTCTTTGAATCTTCTATTCTCAAGGGAACATCAATTTTGACAAGATAAAAAAAAAAAAAAAAGATTGCAAAATTTTCAGAAGAAAAATTCTTTAATAGAATTAAGAGATGTTGGAATTAATTGTTCAAATAAAATTGATGGTCACCGGCTCATATTTTACAATGAATTTTAAGTAGTCTTAAAGTGTATTGGAATTGTGATTGAGACTTTTTTTGGTGAATATACATAACTTTCATATATATATATATATGTATGTATGTGTTTGTGTTTAGTAACTTTTTAAAATTATTTTTTTAAGTTATAAAAAATTATAGCATATCTATAATAATTTTATATACCTATGAAATATCCACCCAACCTAAAACCCAAACCTAATAGTAATTGCCCTAATCATATTTGGTATTCTTTTTCTTCGATTAGTTTCATATTGAGAACAATATTATTTTAAAGTTTGCCCAAACAAAATATTTAAAATTGAAAGTATATTACAAATATTTGACATCTAGTTAAAGTATTAAGTAGTAAATATTGTATATTTATTTAACTAAGTAGTAAATATTGTATATTTTAATAATTATATATTATATAATATTTTTAAAATTTTAATTAATAATTAATAAGATTTACCATATGTGATTCACAATACTTCTAAGAAATAAATACCTAAACACTAAACTTTTAATCATAATTATAATTAAAACACAACATAATTTAATATAATCACAATCATATTTACAGTTATAGTACAGTATAATTTAATATAACTATAATCATAATTATAATTATAACACTTCACAATAATTTTAATCACAGTCTACTCATTTAATTAGGCCAATAATTGTGTATACGCAGTACTAGTGAAACAAAACCTTAAGTAAATGAAAAGAAGATTTTATTTGTTATTCAATAATGAGTTTGTTCTTAAATTTTTACTACTAATTTCAAAATCATTATTTAACAAATAAGTTATCCCTTCACGACCTCTACAACAAATGAGTACTGGTTGGTTGTTACTTGGTTATATTTATTAAAATATAAGAAAAATTCAAACAGTTAAACATTAATTATTGAATTAAGAGGTAATTTTTATTTAAGACCATGATTGGTGCACACTCGGGTGTGCCCTTTGGGTATGCACCCTCTATATCTAAGTGTTCTTGATTTTTTTTTTGTGGATTTTTTTTTTTTGCGTGTTGTGTCCGTGTGTGTATACATATTTTTTTTTTTTTTTATTTTAAGTGTTTTATTGTTTGAAATTATAAAATACTAAAAATTAGTTAGTAAGAGTAGAAAATTTTTTTTTTCTAACTTGTGTCTTAATGTATTTTTTGGTTATTAAGATATATGGAAAAAAATATGATTTTAATTTTAATAATTATCTAATTAAATTAAGATATGTAACATTATCCTAAAATTAATTTTTTTTAACTTTTTAGTATAAATTATTAATTAAAAATATAATAATTACATCAAAGTTAGAGACCATCTCCTTCGTTGGAATACAGAGTTGCTGAATTCGAATTATATTACATGCAAATAAAATGAGGTAATTATTTCATACAACTAAAATAAAAAATATATATATAATAATTACATTTTTAACAGATAATGAATTGCACCGCAAAAAAAAAAAAAAAAACACAGGATTTGTTAGCGTGGACGATGTAACAGCAGGAGATAATGATAACGTCAAGGCCAATGGGCGCTAGAATTAGAAATCCAAAAGCTATTAGTAGTAGAAATTACTGAGTTTAAGGAGGGAATTAAAAAGGCGGTAGTGGTGGATTAGATCTAATTAGGGTTGCCTCTAGGGTTGCACTCCACATTCACTCTATATATTCACATTCCCATTTCCCTCCGCTCACTACATCGGCTCCGGATCCCAAAATTTCTTCACTCATGGCGGACCAACTGCAGCTGGATCAACAATCAAGATCCACCGGCAAGGTCTCGTGGTTCGGCGATTCCAAGGGCTATGGTTTCATCACGCCTGATGATGGAGGTGAGGATCTCTTTGTCCACCAATCCTCCATTAAATCTGACGGGTATCGCAGCCTGACTGTCGGAGAGTCTGTGGAGTTTACTGTTTCGACTGGTAACGGCGGTAAGGCTCAGGCTGTTGATGTTACCGCGATTGGTGGGTCTCCTATCAACAAGAGGGACCGTCGTGGTGGAGCTGGATATAGTGGTGGTTGGAGAGGCGGGAATGATCGGAGGAATGGCGGTGGGTGTTATAACTGTGGGGATTTGAATCACCTGGCTAGGGATTGTGACAGGGAAAGGTACGGGGACAGAAGCAAGAAAGGAAATGGTGATTTTGACAATAACGGCGGCGGCGATGAGTGTTATAACTGTGGTGGGGTTGGTCATTTTGCTCGGGACTGCCGGAAAGATGATAATGTTGGTGGTGGATCGGGGAAGTGTTTTAACTGTGGGAAGTTTGGGCACTTTGCAAGGGACTGTAATAGCAGGGGAGCTGCTGGTGGTGGTGGTGATGGTGCCTGCTATGTATGTGGGGATTTTGGGCATTTAGCAAGGGATTGCAACGGTAGCAGAGGAAGTGGCGGAGGAGGAGGGAGGTTTGAAGGAAGCGCTTGCTTCAAGTGTGGCAATGCAGGGCATTTTGCGAGGGAGTGCCCTAACCTGAAGGCATCAGCTTGATATAGTGGAAAGAAAGAGTAATAGTACATCTTCCTCTTTTTTCCTTTTATCTTTTGATTTTCGGAGAATATTTCTGAATTACAGTGCGTTTTGGGAGATGATATTTCTCCTTTTTGATACATAGATTTAGGATTTTGATTTCTCTCTCTATTGATGCTGATGACTTGAGAGAAAATTTTCAATTGAGTATTTCTTACCTTCAAGTGTGAATTAATATTCTTCCTACTTCTTATATATATATTGGCACAGGGGTTTTGATGTTATTTCTTTGTTTAATTCTGCATTTATGTTATGGTATTATCATTCTGTTTTAAACTGAATATCTGTGTTGATTTGGCCTTTGGTATTTCATGTGCCCTTCAATGGTTGTGATGGTCAATGGGATTGACGTTTGTGTTGCATTTTCTCCAGCATTTTAAGTTCTTGGCTTCGGAGCTCAGACCCTGTATTATTGTGTGTGTGGCCTTTTAGTATCTTATGTAAATTGAATTTTTTTTTTTTTTATTACTAAAGTGGCTACTGATTGCTGAATGTGGAGCTGCCTTCGTCATCCAAAACAGTGTAGTTGTGAAGAGATTTCTTGAGTCTCATTGTTGTGTTTTACATTTTGCTTATTGTGAACCTCATGTCTTGGGCCCTTCCGCCTTGAACTTTGAATGTTTTAACTGAATCCTTTTTAAACCTTATGTATTGTAGTTAGCCTTACCCAACCTCCATTGAGTCTTCTGGATTGGAAATTCCATTTCGGCCAACAGCTATGCATACAGTCTGCTGTTCATTTGGTACTTGTTAATGTCTTTGATTGCACATGAATCAGTATACATCATACTAATTGACAGGTTTCTCCAAATTGGATCCCTGAGCCAATTTTGTGAAAAAATCAGGATCCCAATTTTCGAAGGAACTCTTGATCATAGGTCCTAGTTAAAACTTTGACAAGCTTCAGTATGCATACTGTTCAGAGACAAGGATTTATGAATGTCCAGAGATGGTTTGTTTTTTGTTCCAATTAGAAGTTAACTGCTTGTGATGAGACAGTTAATTATGCATGCAATGTAACGGGAATTTGAGCAAAGACGGTCGAGACACCTTTGCCAACTCATTGTTTGCAAGGAGAGGTGGCTGATCTTTGCGTACATGCAATTCCCATTCCCATTTCCATCAGGTAAACGGCAACTTCTTCCTTAATGGCTCCAACGTTTTGGTCATGTGTATATGATTGATTTGTTGTGTTTTAGCAGACTAATAAGATAGCCCAACCTATGCGTCACAATTGGGCTTACAATTTTCAGGCTGCTCTGACGTTGCATCAACTAAGTATTCCCGTGACTTTAAAATTAACAAGTGGCACAACCTGATGCGATGTTGACTACTTGCACGGCATTAACAATGAAGCTTTTCCGGAGATGATAAAAAGAATTGAGAATTATTGTCAACCTCATGGCATCGATTTTGCTACTTGGATGAGATTAAAGATACCCTTACTTTTGTCACACAGCCAAACGCAAAATACAAATTACTTACACCGTTGTTTTCAAGCTCTCGAATCGTTAGTTCCGAGCCGTCCCTTCTGAGGAAAACACTAGCATAGAATCCCAACTTTCACAACCCTCTATTTACGGGCTGTATGTGTTTAGAGGTCAATTTTATTGAAAAAAAATATTTGAGAAAATATTATATAAAAAATTACAAAGTATTTAATAAAAGGTTGATAAATTTTATAATAAAATTTTGTTGGAATTTAGTCAGTAGTTAAATGTTTTTGTGAGTTTCATATATGAAAAGTTGTCGAGGAATCTTTTCCAAAATTTATTAGAAAATAAAGGTTAAAAGTCTTTTTTTCTACTAGTATTAAAGTGTAAAAATATATAAATAATATTTGTAAGAAAAAAGTTGTGAAAAAATTTTTCACCCAAACCAAATAAACCTTTATAATATGGTTGGGTTGAAGAGGGTCATATTATAATATTTATAACATAATATTTAAAAATGTTATAAGTTGATTGATTTAAAATCTCTTCTCTTCTTTTACTTTTATTCCTTTCATTCTAAATATACTATTAAATTATTAATGTTTAGCTACTTACCCTAATAACCCTAAAATTGCACCCTGATCTAAGTCGATTTATGCGATCAATATTGGTGATTCCCCTAATAAGTATTCTATTTTTACCGTCGGAAGAAGGCAACGCGTCCACTGGACACCAGAGCCACTTTAAATTAAAGGAGAAGTCGTCTATGTGCCCTCTCAGAACATGGAGCAGCCAGCCCAATCAACTCCCTAATTTACGGTCCACACTCTCATGTAGCAGCCGCCCTGCCTTTACATATACATCGTCCTCCCTCCAATTCTGTTCTTCACACAGTCATCTTATTCTTCTAATTTTCTTTTCTTTTTTTTTTTTTTCCTGATTCAATGGCTTCTTTTCAACTTCCCATTGTTTTAACTACATTCTATCTTCAATTTCTTTCAGGTAAACGTAAATCGTTTCTCTATTATGGGTTTGAGTAACTTTCGTATTGCAGCGGTTTGAACTCTAAATTTTGATTATGAAGTTTGTGTTTTTACTATACAGGTGTTTACTCATCAACGTTTACAGTAAAAAACATGTGCAGTTACTCTGTATGGCCGGGAATTCTTTCTGGTGCTGGAACACCGGAATTATCCCCTACAGGTTTTGTTCTCCAGGCAGGGGAATCCGCAACCCTCTCTGTCCCAACATCCTGGTCAGGCCGTTTATGGGGGCGTACTTATTGCACCCAAGATTCCTCCGGTAAGTTCTCTTGTCTCACCGGAGACTGTGGCTCCTCCACTGTGGAATGCTCTGGCAGTGGCGCTGCTCCTCCCGCCACTTTGGCAGAGTTCACATTGAACGGAGCAGGGGGGCTTGATTTTTATGACATCAGTGTTGTGGACGGTTATAACCTCCCAATGATGGTAGCCCCACAGGGTGGTACCGGAGGTAACTGCTCGTCCACTGGATGCTCCGTGGACTTGAATGGAGAGTGTCCGGCGGAGCTTAAGGTGGTTGATGAGAGTGATGAAGGGGTGGCCTGTAAGAGCGCATGTAATGCGTTCGGAGAGGCCCAGTATTGCTGCAGTGGAGCGTACGCGTCGCCTGCCACCTGCAGGCCTAGTACTTACTCAGAATTCTTCAAGACCTCATGCCCTCAAGCTTATAGCTATGCCTACGACGATGGGACCAGCACATTCACTTGCGCCGGCGCCAATTACATCATCACTTTCTGCCCTGGCCCTTCCACCAGGTAACTAAATTTTACCCAATTGGCTAATTCAACCCCTTCTCCCTGTAACGTTGTTTTATACAACCCGACATGACATTAAGTGAATGGATATCAATTAATACGAAAAGAGTCAATCATCATATGCCTCAATTCTCTTTAAGATTCTTTACCATGCTTTCAACAGACAGAATCAGCACCGTCCCATGCGCAAATATATTGAATTGATTAAATTTGATTGTAATGTTTGCAGTGTGAAGTCAGGATCGACATCCACCGCCAACCCCTTGGCTGCTGACTATGTCTCAGCTGGCTCCTACCTTTCACCATCAATTCCCATTGTCTTGACCACTGCCGTAGGGGCGGCATCTCTTTTGGACTGTGCCATACCACTAAACATACGAACATATGGTTAGGCAGATTACCCTGTCCTCTGTGTAGGACCCAAAAAATTCCGGCAATTTCTCACCAGGAGTGAAGACGTTGCTCTGTGACTGTCCCAGTATCCATTGCTCTGTCTGATTGTCTTCCTCATCTTGAAGAAGGAAATCTCAAAATCAAGCATGTCACATGTGGAAACGTTGTACAGAGTCAAAGATTCCAACATGATCATACATAATCGGCCTACTTTTTTCTGAATTTTTATATATATATATATATATGAGTGAGAACCTACTTATATATAAATTTAACACATCATACCAATACAAAATCTCAATAATTTATATTTTACTTTTGATAGTTGAGATTTATTTACATTTATTAAAAATAATTATATTTTTCACTCAAAAAATCATGGTAAATCTCAATTATTAAAAATATAAAAATAAATTATTAAAATTTTGTA